ATATACCGCTTCATAGGGCTTTCAGCCCTCTCTAAGTGGTTTACAGAGTCAGCATATCACCCCCAACAACAATCCGGGCCCTCATTTTACCCACCTTGGAAGGATGGGAGGCTGAGTCAACCCTGAGCCGGTGAGATTTGAACAGCCGAACTGCAAAACTGCAGTCAGCTGAAGTAGCCTGCAGTGCTGCATTTAACCACTGCGCCACCTCGGCTCTTATTTCTTCTAGTGCTTTACATAGCATTTACATAGCAGTTATAAAATTACAGCTGTATTGTTTGTATATTAATAGACATTACCAAAAAGATACCATAAATTAATCTTTTTAAACTGAAGTATGAGCAGTATCCTACAAACTAAAGTGTCATGGAAAAATCTGGCCTTGGATAAATATTAAAAAATAGCATTGTGTCCTTTAACAACTCTGAAATAGTTTATTTGATTAAGTCTTTGCTCAATATTTGCACCTATGCATTAAATATATTCTCATTTTAGCATAATTGCTAAACAATATTTTCCTGCTGGGCAAAGGGATCAGTATGTTAAACATGTGTAAGAACAAAAAAAAAAGATATAGTAAGATACTTAATTGGCCAGCTGCCATCAACCATTTCAACACTTGCACACCTTCTTGACCACTTATACCGCATTGTTAAAGGATGATAAATCATTTGACACACAACTAGGGTTTTGAAAAATATGTGAAAACCATTCAGCTGAAAAATCTGTTTGAAATGTATGAAATTTTCCATCTGACTGCTTTCTGCTAGGAGGAAATACTGCAGTGAGCTGCAAATATTTTTTAATCTTGTTTTATATTAAATCGTTTAATATATGAATCACTCAAGAGTACAATTGTTAAATTTAACACAATTTTTATTTCATTTTCACCTGACAATGTTTCTCAGTTTGATTTCAAGTAACCCAAAATGTAGACATTCAAATAAGACTGCTGCTCTAGCAAAAGCTGCAAATTTTAAGAATACAAACAGAAAGACGCAGAACGCTTAAGTCAACTGAAATTGGAAAACGTTGCTAATAAAGGTGAAAGCTAAAGCTTTCATTTCAAACTGGCTGCTAACTAAAATGCATACATCTTGCGTCATCCGTTCAGATGGATTTATCTGTTATTTTGATATGAGAGAAAATATAAATTTGGAGCCCTACGTGCAGAGAAGTTGCAGGGAGAAATGGAGTAGTAGAGAAATAGATGGGGAAGGAGTTAAGCTTCTCTGTTTGACATCACCTCTCCTTATCTTGTTTCTTAAAAACAAACAACCACCAATAATTTATTATGCATGTTAAATTTTAAAGTTGAACTTGTCCTTTCAGTCCGAATAAATAAGAGCAAAATTTCACTAAGGCTTGAGTCTCACAATGTTGTTTATCTGTGGATGGGTTGCCTTCAATAAATCATTTTAAGAATGTTTATCCCAGTCTTTGGTTCAACAGTCTCCCAGAGTGTACTTACATACAATAATTAAAAACAACAGTCCCTTAGTGCTAGCTTCCAACTTAAATAAATGGGAAGAAAAGATGGGGGGGGGAAGGGAGAGAAAAAGCAGATTCTTAAGCCTGATAAAAGTTCTCAGGATATTATTACATGAAGGCTTTAAACCAGTTGAGAATCAACATCCGACCAGTCTGATCACAAGACTTGGTTGGTGTGGGAATTATTTCCCCCCCCCTCTTAACTTTGCATCAGCTTATATGAATTAGAGAGAACAGGCATTTTCTATCAAAATTGTTGTGGCTGTTCTGCGAAGCTGATTCATAATAGAATTTCCCGAAGGAAGGCAAATATATGTGTCCTAGGATAATGTTGTAGGATCCAATCTGGGTCATTCACTAGGACCAGAGGTTTAGTCTTCTAAGGATGGGCTCTAGAGCCGAGGTGGCGCAGTGGTTAGGGCGCAGTACTGCAGGCCACTGCAGCTGACTGTTATCTGCAGTTCAGCGGTTCTAATCTCACTGGCTCAAGGTTGACTCAGCCTTCCATCATTCCGAGGTGGGTAAAATGAGGACCCAGATTGTTGGGGACGATATGCTGACTCTGTAAACCGCTTAGAGAGGGCTGAAAGCTCTATGAAGCGGTATATAAGTCTAACTGCTATTGCTATAAGTCCCAAACCTTAGAAGACTGAATTTCTGGTCCCGATGGCAGACCCGGATTGGATACTGCCATAGAATTTCCCATTGGTAGTTCTTTTGTCTCACTTTCGGCTCCTAAATTCAAAAGAAACATTTTGTCCCCTATTAAGTTTTAGGATCTTCTTATGGTGCTTGTTTGGAGATACCTTTTAAAATATATATTTCATTTTTTCAATGATTGGAATAAGATGCATCAGCGGTGACAGTTACTGGAAGTGACATCTGATTGCCGAATTGCTAACATGCAATTCACCAGCAGTGGATCTATAATGCAAGAGTTACAAAGCTTTATCTCATAGCTATAACTCAGATTTTTTGGGGAGGGAATAGATAAACAAACGTATATTGAACAGATTGGTGTAATAGGTTGAATATTAGCATTTTTCCCATTTTGTATGAAGTTGAGGGGTTGGGAGATTTTTGTTATTCCACAGTGGAATTCTTTGGACTTTCCTATTGAACAGCTGCAGGGAGTACTACTGATTAGGCCACATTCCCAAGATTTTGGAGGACAGCAGAAATGAAGTTATGTGTTGGTTGCAAATTGCTTCCAGTGGATTGGAACATTTGGTGTCTTGGACTGTAAATACACTTTGATTTATTGATTGATTGATTGATTGGAGAAAACAAACAGCTCTGTCAAATGAGCAATGCAACCTGATTTCCAAGAAAAATAGAGATAAGGAGCTTTAAGATTCTGAATGCAAAACAGATGAAGGGAGGGAACATAGCTGCAAATAATCTTTAAATTCAATCATTTTTAACAGAAATTTAAAGAAAGCAAAAGGCTATTTGCATTCTTGTATATATAAAACAGAATAACAGAATTATAAGTGTGTGTGTGTGTGTGTGTGTGTGTGTGTGTGTGT